CACATTTCTCATGATTTTTTATCAGGGATCTACTTAATATCCAGGACAACTTAGGCCTAATTATAGCTTACTAAGCTTTAACTATATATACTATATTATGATCAACAAATCAACTTTTTTCGCATTTAGCACAATTTTCTTCACTTTTTATTGTTATTAATATTATTATCAATTATTACTATCGTCATCATCATCATTATTATTATTATTATTACTATTAGTAGTAGTAGTATTAAACAAACATTTAAAGAAACTTGAAAAAGGATAAAAACGAAATTGAACCACAGTATCGCATTTCTATCTTAAAAGACCTGGCATGAGATTTATGGATTTAAGATTTTTTAAAATCACGCTTAGGCCTATGTGTTCTGTTAGGCCTATGTATAACGTGTACTGATGCATATTTACATGTTTAGAAGTATTCATTTTGAGTGATCCCAAGAAAGAATTTGTATTGGGTCAGGAATAAGCTTTAAAATTTTAATACTGTGTACAAAGGGGGAGCCGCGGCTCCCACGGCTCCCCCCTGGATACGTCCCTGCCTGGAAATTTCTCATAACAAGCTAAATTTTTCAGGACAAGTCCAGAATTATGAGTAGAATAACATACTAAAAGTCCTGGAAGTCCTCACTGGAGCTTTCCGCAAAATCCAAGATGTCAGCCAAAATGGCCGTCATTTTTATATATTATCATAACTTTGCAGTCAGACAGGTTGGAAGGAAAATGAAGTGTCTAAATATATGGAATACATTAAGACAATAATCTAGAGTGTCAAAATCTTATAAGTACCCCGAAAACCATGGCGTCCAAACTGGCCGTCATTAAAATTTTATCATCATAACTTTGCAACCAGACAAGTTCGAAGCACAAATGAAGTGTCTAAATACATGTTTTGAGGAATACGATAAAACCGTTATCAGGAGGGACCAAATCTTATAAGTACACCAAAACCAAAATGGTGTCCAAAATGGCTGCCATTTTAAAATTTTATCATAGATATTATTGCAACCAAATAAGTTGGAAGCACAAATGAAATGTCTAAATATATGTTTTAAGGTACAAGGAATACAATAAGGGCATTATTTGGAGAGTCCTGATCTTATAAGTACGCCAAAACCAAGATGGCGTCCAAAATGACAGCCATTTTAAAATTGTATACCTTCCGATTACACTCAAACCTACAGAAAAGAAGCTCTAGAAATGGTGGTTAATTTGACAACCGACACTAAGTCGAAAGCTAAATCATTAATTCCTCTTAATCCCAGGACTGGAGTTTTATACACAATACCAAAGTCACATAAGTTACTGCCACTTCTTATACCGAGTTTTGTTCAGGATACCACAGACTTTTTGAGAAAATTTAACTCTTTTTCCAATTTTAAACCGGACCCATTACTAGTCGCTATGGACGTTTGCTCATTAGATGGGCTATTCTATGAAAAATGAGACCAGTTCAATTTCGAAAAATAATAAAATAAATTGTTTCTATGCTGCCCATGAGTTCAATTTCTTGAGAGTAGACATACCAAAAATAGCAGATCAACAGAAATTGTGAACACATGTATGGTTTTTTGTCTTTTTTTGATTAAAAAATCAATTTGAATGTTATAGTACATTTTTGTACACAATGGCTGATGTGTATTACGTGATCGTAACTCTTTGTTAATACAATTATTTTAAAATAAAGTGAACTTGCGTGATTACATTGAAATAAAAACAGACAAAATCACTATGCCTTTTCACACTTAGTTTAGATGCATTTCCTATGTTATCATAAGAAACCCAGTTCATGTTAGCAATTATATTAATCATTATGTATTAGTGTAAACAAATTAGTTGACACTTATGAACATGATATGTTTCAAAATCACATATTTAGTTGTCTTGAAATATATTAAATTTTTTTTTTCATTTTGTTGACATTCTGTAATGTTTCCTGTAAATACATTATGAGACGGCCGTTTATGGTACACACGTGATCGCATCATTATCAACTTACTATATATAAGTACGGATAACGTAATACACATTTAGACCAATATTGGCAATTGACAAAAGTCAATGCGTTCAATATCGATTGATAACACAGCATATGCCTGTACTAACAAATACACCCTTTTGCTCAGAAGGTGGATAACGTAATACACATGTGTGAATTACGATAGTTTCACCTTTCTACACTGTTTAGGCCTATCCAAAGCACTGATACAATTAATATTTTGTTGAATGAAGTAAAC